GTGGGATTCGAACCCACGATCCAGGTTTCCAAACGAGCGAAGACAGTACATGCCTTAGACCGCTCGGCTACCGTGACCGGCCCAGCGCCACTTTGTCCACCACAAATCCCACTTGACCAGACCCAGGGATCGAATCCGGGCCGCCGTGGTGGGAAGCCAGCGACTAACCTCTTGAGCTATGGCGCGGCCAAAAGCATTCTTGTACGTGTCCTCTTACCACTGAGCACCAGCGGGAAGCTCACAGAATTTCCATTCAATTTACCTTTAATCACCCATCTTTTGTCTTGTGGATGTATTGCTGTGAAGCCTCATGTGTTGGAAGACACACAGAGATCTCCTCCACTCTGCACATGTCCTCTGGCTGCTAATGAACAGTGCGGATGCACTCAAGTGCATTCGCCCTAACTCATCACGTCTCTGTCAATATATAGAGAGATTCTTGTATTTGACATAGTTTTCTGAAGGGCCAGTTACTTCGTGTTCAAGATTTTTCTAAATAATAGATATAATTCGGATATAGCACACAATTGAGATATCCATCTACGTTCTACACTTCTATTCGGTAGGTATCGGGTTCGAATCTTGGTCAAGAGCCTGGATATTCTGTTGTCCAAATGGGTTCCATACAACTTTCCGGATCCTTATCCTGATGATCACATTTCAATTTTTTTCAGTGATACAGAAGGCGCTTTTCTGAATTTATGTTTATATGCTTTTTTATATTAGATGGACTGTAACACACATTAAACAGTAGTATATTTTCCCCCGTTTCTGTATTGTTAAGTGAGAAAAATAACTTTTACTCTTCTCCAAGTATAATTACAACGATGAAGTGAAGGAGGATGAGGTGGGCAGGGTATGTAGCACGAATGGGGAGAGGATGAATGCATATAGGATATTGGTGAGAAAGTCGGAAGGAAGGAGACCACTGGGAAGACCAAAACGTAGGTGGGTGGACAATATTGAAATGGATCTTAGAGACATAGGGTGGGGTGGTATGGACTGGATAGATCTGGTTTAGGATAGGGACCAGTGGAGGGCTCTTGTGAACACGGTAATGAACCTTCAGGTTCCATAAAAAGCTGGGAAATTCTTGAGTAGCTACAGAATTGGCGGCTCCTCAAGAAGGGTTCAGCTCCATGAGTGAGAGTAACAACCCCCCCCCCCAATATATTCTAGAGTTTAGAGCAGACTACAGGGCGTTATATCCCATAAGGCAAACCTATCAGAATTCAAGATTACTGTCAACTGTTTTTAAGTAGTTTTCATGTCTTTTGGATTTGAGGTCCTCAGAGCAGTGACTATGAAATTCGAATCTTCTGGGAAGTTTATATTTTTATTTTTACCGGACTACACGGCGCTATATCTCAGGAGACGGAACTGTTCTTATTAATGTCTGGATCTGACACATTTGGACAGAACTACTTTAACACAAGGATCGAAATCCGATGTTCCAACATGCGTGTTTTTCTCCATATCTGATTACTGTTCTCATGCGTCGTTTTTGTCGTAATTGCGCCAATATTTTCTAAGGATCTCTAATATCTGTATCCTGATAAGTGGAACATTTCATTATGTTTTTTTGACAGGTAATTAAGGCGTTGTGTACTCAGGAAATGCACTCGTCATCTTATATAATCTCGCTTTGCTGAGAAACGGTGACAGTCGCCATGAGAACTCTGTGGTGTTTGGTTTCCTTGGTAACAATTGTTGCTGCCCAGCCGAGGGCAGAGCTGGATTGGTGGCAAACTGCAGTCTTCTACCAGATTTATCCACGATCATTCAGAGACAGTGATGGAGATGGAATTGGCGATCTTAAAGGTATTTCTTTTTCCTAGGCACTACAGCCCCAGTGGGCCTAGGCCTACCTCCATGAACTTCTCCGTTCACTTCGGTTTTTCTAGATCTTACACATTCGGTAGAACTCCTTGGGCGAGTGATCAGCTCGTCGCAAGGCCTCTACCTGTAGACAAACACAGAAAAACGCACACACACAAACTAAACATCCATGAACTCNGGGGCTCTTTCCCCAGGGTTAAAGTGGCCGGGGTGTGAAGCTGACCACTCACCTCCAACTAGTGCCGAGGTAAAGAAAACGTGGGTCTATACACCCACTTCACTCCTACGCCTTTATGGCGTAGTGTTCAATTAAGTACAGAGGCAACATTACCTTACCTTTAACTTTACCAAATATATAGCTGTTATGTAATCATAGCACAAAAATTGAATGGTATTTATTGATATATTTTTTTAATATTATTTATTTCTAACTTTTCGAGTATAAAATTGTTACGTAATCCTAGCACCAGAATTCAGTGGTCTTTATGGATATATATTTTTTAATCTTATTCATTTTTAATTTATGAAATATATGAGTGTTAAGTGATCTATACACCAAAATCCGAAACGTTGCAATTAAGCCATAGGTTTGACATTGTAACTCGGTTCGAGGTTAATAAAAAAATTTCGCTAGCATCCTTCTTGGATTTACGTTTTTTTAACATGCAACAAAAAAACAAGAAATCAGTTCTGCTTACCACCTACTCTGACGCTGGTTTCTTGCTCGGATTATTCTACCCTGAGAATGGTTGCAATATGTTCCTTCGAAACGTCGATGAATTTAAATGGATTATACGGCGTTATATTTCAGAAGATGGCACTCGTTACGACTACCGCTTTTAGAACCTCCCTAAAACTGCCTTGGACTTGCATTAATATATACATTTCTCATTTCGTGATACAATGAACGAAATTACGTATCGAATGAGAATATTCTTTTATTTAGGTATTACAGAGAAACTTGAGCACCTGAAGGACATCGGTGTTGGAGGAGTATGGCTGTCACCCATCTTCAAATCACCAATGGCAGATTTCGGCTATGACATTTCGGATTTCCAAAACATCGACGCCATGTTCGGAACAATGGAGGACTTCGACAATCTTCTGGAGAAAGCAAAAGAATTCGGTAATAAAGGCATTGAAACCGCAGTGCAGAGCGTGAGAGACGAATGGAAGGCTGTTTCCAGTAATCGAATAGGCCTATTTTAAAGATGTTATGTTGTCTTGACAAGTAAATGAATAGGCTTAAATTAATTCGCTTGTTGGGGGGGTGGAGTCCAGCTGGGTCCACTCGGCACGGCGGCCACTGATTGGCCTATTGTACCTGCCCCGGGTGATTATGATGATGGAGAATTTGGTGGAATGAAGATTGGCAGGGGAAACCGAAGTACTCGGAGAAAACCTGCCCCAGCGCCACTTTCTCCACCAAAAATCCCACTTGACCAGACCCGAGATCAAACCTGGGCCGCCACTGTGGGAAGCCAGCGACTAACCGCTTGAGCTATGGCGCGGTCAAATGAATAGGCTTACTCAATTAGGCTCATTGCAATTTACATTTTAGAGCGCTGAATTTTGATTTCCTTGTCCTGGGCACTGACATTCCACCCGAATTAGAATAAAAAACCCATTCATTATATGTTAATATTTTAATTTTGTGCACTCTCTTACTAGCACCACTAATTATGAATCATTGTCTGAACTTAACGTATTTCTGTTCACATTTGTGCCTTCTTACCATCCCCTCACATTTTACTTTACGTTTAAATGCATCTGTTTTTATTTTCTGCTATTTCTCTTTATTCTTGTGTCCTACTTTGCTGCTGATAACTACTGTCTATATATCGATAGTCCTAACCTCTTGTCCAAATCGCTCCCTCCAAATCTTTGTTCCTTCACACCATAGCATAAAATATAGAAAGATAAAGCTATCGCTGTAACAGGCTCATAGGGAAATGACGTCGAGGCTGCCACATTATCTAGACAATCGGCTCAAAGATGGCGGTAAGGTTGTCAGCCTTACGCGCCGGCCGCGCTTTACCCCCACGAAAATTCCTGATACTCATTTCTATTAGAGGCTGAGTAGACCGCAGGGTCATAGTGCGGCTGGAAGAATTAGTGCGTTTAAAAAATCCACCTCATCGGGAATCGAACTCGTGACTTTTCGGCTTGTAGCATAGTGCCTCAAATAACTACGCTACCACGTGCCCCCTCACATCACCGTCCCCATTGGCTCCATGTGGGCAGCTGTCCCATCCTGTGTTCCTTCTAATCCCCTGACTGACTCCACTGAGATAAACCCTACGTCAGAAGCCGCCAGTTGCTTAGCTACTCAAGAATTTCACAACATTTTATGGAACCTCAACGTTCATTACCATTTTCATAAGAGCTCTCGAGTTGTCCCTGTTAGGAGCCAGACCAATCCAGTCCATCCCACCCCATCCTGTCTTTCTAAGATCCATTTTAACATCCTCTCACGTAAGTCTAGGTCTTCCTAGTGGTCTCTTTCTTTTTGGCTTTCCCACCAAAATCCTGTACGCATTCCGCTTCTCCCCCATTCGTGCTACATGCCCTGTCCATCTCATCCTCCTTAACTTGATCATTCTAATATGCAGTTTTCTCCAACCTCCTGTCACTTCATCTCTCTTCGGTCCAAATATTCTCCTCAACACCCTGTTCTCAAACACCCTCAGTCTATGTTCCTCCCTTAATGTCAGAGACCAAGTTTCGCACCCATACAGAACTACACGACATCCATGCGAGACACTCGGATCTCAAATGCTAAAGAATTTGTAACCATTGCAGACATAAAAGTTATTCTCGACTTCGTGCCAAATCATTCCAGTGACGAACATGAATGGTTTGTGAAGTCTGCGCAGAATGATGTTGATTACAGCGACTTCTACGTGTGGCACGACGGGAAAGTGCTAACAAATGGGACCAGGGTTCGTCCAAACAACTGGGTAAGCCCTGTACACGTGCAACTTGATGCGTATCATAACGAAGAATGTTTTCCACTAAGGAACTATTTCTTTTTCACTGGCTCTACAGCCTTCTTTGGCCTTGACCTCTGATTTTTCAGTTTCATGATCATTTTACAGTCGGTAGGACACCTTTGACGAGTGATCAGCTTGTCGCAAAGTCTCTACCTGAACACAGGACAACACAAACGGAGAATAAACACATACACGTCAGAAACATCCATGTCTTGCGTGGGATTCGAACCCACGATAACGGTTTGCGAGCGAGCGAAGGCAGTACGTGCCCTAGACCGCTCGCCTACCGTGACCGGCATGGAAATGTTGCTTTATATAAATTTAACATCAACTCTATGCGTCTTACAGCAAAGTGTGTTTGGGGGTCCCGCTTGGACGTTTCACGGGGGACGACAACAATATTATCTGCATCAGTTTGACCCCAAACAACCTGACCTCAACTACAGCAACCCCCTTGTTGTGGAGGCTATGAAGGTGAGTGGTACAGAGGTCTATCCTTAGACAGTGAATTTGCTTTCTTAACAGCAGGTGGAAGTGTTACAGTGACCCAGTCTGAACCCTCTAGAGGATGGTGGGCAGTTTTCATTGTCACGATTTAGGTGTGTGTGTGTGTGTGTGACTATAGACGGGTTTTGGATTAGTGACTGGACTTATTTAGCACTTACACACACAGGACTCGGAACTACAAGCACTAAACAACGCTATCGCTGATCTACTCACACCTAACGGATCATTAGTGCACACGATAAGTCTTCTCAGTCTGCTTTCACTAGTCATTTCCTAGTAACGGATCTTAATAGAGATTCTTTAGCTTCTGTGTTCATGTCGTTGCCCGCTGACTAATACTTCACAGCTGAACTGCCAACAGAACTAATTCCTCCAACCGTCCTGATTATAACATCTCTGCACGGACCACATAGAAAATACCGTTCTTCTATTGTTCCGTGCGTGTTCGTTGCCGCGAGAACATTTTACCGAGCTCTTGTCTAGAAACGGTCGCTATTTATTCGCCTTATCGCGGTCGTTGCATAGCAACGGCTGTACACGCTGCGCTGTCATAAGATCTGAAAGTTCGTGACGATAGAGTTATTGAGCTTTGAGCATTACCAATCGCTCTGTCTTAAGAATAAACAGGTAAGGGTAAGGTAAAAGTAAAGTTGTCCCTGCGCTTAATTAATCAAGCGCCACGCAATTAAGACATAAAGAGGAGAGGAGGTATAGCTCCATCATTGTTGACCTCGACACTAGATGGAGGAGAATAGTCAGTTACACGCCCCGGCCGCTTTACCTCCAGGGAAAGAGCTCCCGGTACCCAATAGATAGGAGGCTGGGTGGGCCCCAGAGCGTGTCTGGGCACTGTGGAGTGGAGGGAGATCTCTTGCCCCTGTTGCTACACCGACTGAGCTGTCCTAAATAGAAACAGGACGGAGGATAAGTAAAAAAAGTCAATATTTATAATTTCTGTTATAATTTGCAGTTTAGTCAACGCCCGTGAACGTAGCTCGAAATTACTGGATGATAGTGAATAATGATATGGAAAAAATGTTGAGGGAAGTGGCCATGGCCTATTTTAAATATATTAACTAGGGGATTTACCTGGAGGGATTGAGTAAAATCACGAAAAATTTCAGTCACCAGTGGCTGGTGTTCCTCTTTCGTATTCAGGAGGTCCTGATTTTGAATCTTGGTCTGGAGACAAAATACCCTTCCAAGTTTATGATGATTTTCTTCAGTTCCTCCAGAAAAATTTGAGGCCTGTGTATCTAATTAACCGACATAATAAAAAGTTTCCGACGAAATTTTTTCTGTCAGGGCCGCGCCATAGCTCAAGCGGTTAGTCGCTGGCTTCCCAACGCGGCGGCCCGGGTTCGATTCCGGGTCTGGTCAAGTGGGATTTGTGGTGGATAAAGTGGCGCTGGGGCGGGTTTTCTCCGAGCACTTCGGTTTCCCCTGCCAATCTTCATTCAAATTCTCCATCATCATAATCACCCGTGGCAGGCTACAGTAGGCCAATCAGTGGCCGCCGTGCCGAGTGGACCCAGTAGGACTCCCCCCCCCCTCTAAGCGAATTAAAAAAGTATCTTTTCTGACGAACAAATTTAATCATGACAAGTTTATATCGGCTAAGTCAGTAATTTAAAATTTAATTATTTCATTAGTAAATACTATAATCCAATCACTGTATCTCATTCCTTACAGTTGCTAAACCGTCGTTAATTAATCTAAGATTTTTACAGCTAAGCACAAATAGCTTAACTGTAATAACGCCCCTGTAGAGATTGCATTGAGCAATTAATGGGTTTAAAGTCGGCTCAGTTCCGTACTTCATGCAATGGGCAATGCGTAACAAAATTGCGCTGTAACATTTGTAATCTTATTGACCGGTATTTATCAGTTCTAAGTACTTTGGACATCGAACATATCTCACTTTGGTTTCAGAAATGATCTCAACTTCTTGCCCCACGCTTCATATCGGCGATCATGGATGATGGATTTTAATTTTATCTGAATGTTTTTACTTCGAATAAACAGATAATTTACCACTTTTTATTTCATGCATCCTGTTGTGTTATAATATATAACTTCGTTATTTAGACCGTTGTTTACATTCCCTATAGTACGGACAATATTTTGTAAGATGAGGCAGACTAGTTAGTTAGTTATTTATTGGAGAGGGTGGGTTTCCCCATGTACTTAGACCAGTATTGGTCCATTGTGCTTCCCTCTATGATATTCTACCAGTCTCTATACCCTACCGATATTGGTGCCTAGCATCAGTCCCGACCGAGCCAGCGAGTTCGGCCTCTACTGGCTTGGCGGTATCTGTAATGCTTCCCCCATCTATCAGAGGCGTTAAGACTGCTGTTGGGCGGAAAAAGTCCTTGAATTTGGCTCATTGACCTCCTTTGGAGATATGAGGTTCTTTTACGTGCCGTAAAGCTACGACACGGGACCCACGGCTTAAAGTCCCTCCCCAAGGACTTGTTCCTGAAATTTTCCGCCCTTAAAAATTCCACGACCTCCGCCGGGTTTGAACCCGCGTACCACGAATCATGAGGTGGGAACGTTACCTTTTAGACTACGGAGGCCGCTGAGGCACAGACTAAATAATTAACATTAATATTACTACATTTACATCACGAGCCTCCAGTAACAGTTTCTATACACAAAATATAGAATACTCCAATTTGTCGGTGGGAACGCAACAAAATCACAGAAACCAAAGACTGATTCGATGATGTAAAACATCAATCGAAGAATCTTTATTCTTGTTTTATACTATAACTTTTGTTTTATATAATCTAATTTATTGTATTTTTACACCAAGTATTTTAATATAATTAATATTATTGTATCAAATTTTATTAGTACTGCAGTTCAGTGGTGTATATATGTTAGCCGTGTATTTGCCTGATGATGACTATTAATAGCCGAAACATGTAGCAGAGACAAAACCAGGCACTGACCTTAATGTGGTTGTGTTGTGACGGTCTTAATAAAGAAGTTACAGATAATTTACTATTAGGTCAAAGGTCAAGAAAGAGTCGTACCCTTTAAAGTTTGTAGTATGAGTGAGAGAGAGAGAGGAGGAAGTGAGATACACTACATTTGGGGGGGGGGCAAGAAATTTTATCTCCGGTTTTGAAGGTTCCCAGGCAGTGCCCGCTTGCCCTTTTGGTACAGGTAATATATATGATTGGAATTAATTTTTATATGACGTTAGAAGGGCTGTATTATAATGCAATTTTAAGTAAAATTGGGAGTGCTGCATGTGAAGCTTCCAGTGCAAATGGAATTGCACTGGAATCCTTGATCATAGTGCTAATGCAATGTCTGCCTTATCGTTGCTAGGCAACAGGCCATCTGTGTGCCCCCATAATTTTTTGCTTTTTTCCATGAGGTCCATGTCATATCAAAAGAAAGTACGTGATTAGTTCTTCCCAGAACTTCTTAGCCGCATGTCAGGCACGCGTCAGTATGTTAACTGGTACTGATCAAATGAAACCGATCTCTCCTCTGTTACATGTTATTGCTTCACGGCCCAATTTCTTGTACAGGATGTTCTCCGGTTCTGGCTGGACAAAGGCGTTGATGGGTTTCGAGTTGATGCAGTGCCGCATCTGTTCGAGGGGCCCATAGATGTAGACGACTCAGTGACCTCAGCCCCTCAACACCGCCCCGAAACTTACGAAATGGTCGTGCAGTGGCGCAAGATAATGGATGAGAAAAGCGTTCAATATGGAGGGACCAAGTAATGAAAAATTCACGTTCCTTTGAAAACAGAATTATTCTGTACATTATCGGCCTCAGTCTCACCATTATCATAATCATCAATCAGAACTTGAAAAATCATACCACGTCCAACTCACCAAACTAAAAATCCATTTACTTACTTACTCACTTATGGAGCTGAGCCCTTCTTGAGGAGAAGCCAAATCTGCAGCTACGCAAGAATTTCCCAATATTTTATAGAACCCGAAGGTTAATTACCGTGTTCACAAGAGCCCTCCACTGGTCTCTATCCTGAGCCAGATAAATCCAATCAACACCATCCCATCTCTCTAAGATCCATTTTAATATCGTCCACCCACCTACGCCTTGATCTCCCCAGTGGTCTCTTCTTCTGGCTTTCCCACCAATATCCTATACGCACTCCTTTTCTCTCCCCAATTCGTGCTACATGCCCTGCCTACCTCACCCTCCTTGACTCGATCATTCTAATTATACTTGGAGAAGAGTACAAGTTATGAAGCTCCTCATTATGCAGTGTTCTCCAACCTGCCACTTCATCTCTCTTCAGCCCAAATGTTCTCCTCAACACCTTGTTCTCAAACACCCTCAGCCTATGTTTCTCCCTTAATGTCAGAGACCAAGTTTCACACCCATACAGAACCACAGCCAAAATTGTAATTTTGTATATTTTAATTTTTATGTTTTTGGACAGCAGACGAGAAGACAAAAAGTTCTGGACTGAATGGTAGCAAGCATTGCCCGAGTCCAATCTCCTCTTAATTTCCTCCTGAATCAGGTTTCGATTTGATATCGTCATTACGAAATATCTGAACTGTGCCATATTTTCAAAACATCTGTTTTCTATGGTTATGTCATGATTTTCTGTATATACATTAGAAGGAAAAAAAGATGCTTTTCCAGAATTTCACATCAAGGATACACGTGTTGCTAATGAGAGTTGATTGTAATTGTTTGAATGTCGGTCACAGAGTGCTGATGCTGGAGGCTTATGGGAGTGTTGATGATATAATGGGTTACTACGGGACACCGAGCGCTCCCGGCGGGCATTTCCCATTTAACTTCCGATTGATTTCGGATATAGATAAGTCTTCATCAGCTGAAGATTTCAGCACAGTTATTAATGAGTACTTGGAGCACATGACAGACGGCCGAACTGCCAACTGGGTGGTAAGTAAGGCTACTTCGTCGGGAATTTGTACAACACATAAATTGGAACATTTAAGAGATTTCATTTCATATAATTTGATTAATATGAAATTCTGTACAAGATGAAGCATTTCAGAATACTTTATAAGTGTATAAGAAATTTAATTGAATATAATTGGATTAATAGGTCTAGAGAACGGAGACTAACGGCCGTGGGGATCCGTTGCGCTGACCACGTGACACCCTCTATCGATAAAATTTGGAACTAACTTCGCCGACAAACGGCGGTCACTCTGTCCGTATAGTTCGCTCACGGACTACAGGCCACAGAGTTTATAACTTGATTAACTGGCACTTATCTGTTTCAGTTGGGGAACCACGACAAACATCGAGTTGCCAGTCGTTTCGTTCCAGAACTCGTCGACGGACTGAACTTCCTGGCGCATTTGTTGCCAGGGATCGGTGTGACATACAATGGAGAGGAAATTGGAATGGAGAACACGTTTATCACATGGGAACAGTGTAGAGATCCACAGGGCATAAATGCAGGACCTGAACATTATTTGGAGGCAACGCGTGACCTGGAGAGGACGCCGTTCCAGTGGGACAGTAGCACCAGCGCAGGTTGGTAGTTGAACCACAGCGTGTTTCTAATTTTTCATTGCTAAGGTAAAAAGTAAAGATATCTCTGTAACAAGACGTGGAGGCCCATAGGGTTGTGAGACGTCGAGGCTCCCACATTTTCTAGACAATCTGCTCACAGATGGCGGTGAGGTTGCCAGTCTTACGCGCCGGCCGTCATTTTACCCCCAGGAAGATTCCTGGTACTCATTTCTGTTAGAGGGTGAGTCAATTCCAGGGCCATAGTGCGGCTGGAAGGATTAGGTCAATTGACGAAATCCAATTACCTCATCGGAATTGGATCCCACAACCTTCCGGCTTGTAGCATAGCGCCTCAACCAATTACGCTAACGCGTGCCTCCCCCGTACATCCTATATATAAAATATATTTCTTTTTTTAAACATTTATCCTTTATGTTGAAGGTTTTTCGAGCAGTGAGTCAACATGGCTGCCAGTGAACCCTAACTATGTGGAACTGAACTTGGAGGCCCAGAAAGCTGCAGAGAAGAGCCACTACAAAGTGTACAAGCAGCTGACAGAACTGCGCAAGAATCCAACCATTCAGCGGGGAGGCGCCCACGTCGCTGCTCTTTCTCAGAACGTCCTGGGTTTTACAAGGTACGTATATTTTTTATTGCTAGTGGGGTGGGACTAAGTCCCTTGTACTGCGACCACTTCTGGCCTATTGTACCAGCCCCAGTTGATAGGTGAGGGTGATTGTGGAGCAATTGGTGGAATGAAGATTGGCAGGGGAAACCGAAGTACTCGGAAAAAATTTTCCATCACAAATCCCACTTGAGCAGACCCGGGATCGAACCCGGGCCACCGCGCTGGGAAGCCAGCGACTACCCGCTTGAGCTATGGCGAGATGACCATGCTCCTGGAAGAGAGGAGAAACGTAAAACGTAAACAGAACAGATGGGGGATTCCTCTTGCAAAACACCCACTTACAAGACTAAGAAGCAGAGGGGAGGATATTATTTAAAATGATCATAAGGAGAGGTTTTGTCAGGCTAGATCAAGATCGTGTACAACTTTGCGGTTTGTTATTAGTAGCGTGAATTATCAGACGATGCCACAACAGTGTCACATAATTCACACTTTTGTGAACATTTGCTTAGACGAAGAGTAATTAAGTACCATGTCATGAGGACATTCAAACTTAATTTTGAAATTCGATGGAGCTGAGTGGACACGGCCCTTCTGGGAATGGACGCCGGTACCCACTGCCTGGGAGAGCCAGCAGAATATCGAAATCTCGATCCACGCCTGGGATATTACTTCTGAGTGGACTCAGAATTATAAATTTAACTTCTAATATTCTCTACCTGAGACGGCATAACTAACTGATTCATAATTAAATTTGGGACACGCGGTAGTGTAGTTGGTTGAGACACTATGCTACAAGCCGGAATGTCGCGGGTTAGATTCCCGATGAAATGAGTACTAGAAATCTTCCTGGGGTTAGAGGAAGGCCATCACATAAGGCTGATAATCTCAAATCTAGAAAATGTGGGAGCCTCGACGTCTCAGAAACCTATGGGCCTGCACGGCCTGTTACAGGGATATATTTTTGTAATTAAGTTAATTTAAATTGTGTGGCTAATAGTTGATGTAATGTTACAATTATCTGCAGAACCTTGCCCGATGAGGACACTTATGTTGTCGTGATCAACCTGGGAGACGAGATGGAAGTTGTGGACGTGAAGAAAGCTCTCAGCGAGGTGCCAGATAAAATAAAAATACATATTCTTGGCATAAATTCGAGGCACATGGCGGGGTGAGTCCCACTGTATATATTGTACGAGTTTTACATGTAGTAATTTGTGCATCAGAAGTGACATAAAAGTGAGAAATTTCCTTATTCTTGTAGATTCTAAAAGGTTCTGACGATGGTCAGAATTACTGAGTTTTGGACTTTTTCCATCGTCCGGTATTCTCGGAACTAGAAAGCACGACGTTTCGGAAATTGGATCTGTTTTCGTCCTCAGATGAAGGGGGGAGACACCTAATCCACAGAATGAAATTGGAATTAATGGCAACTGAAATGTGTTACTGAACCCCGTATTTGTTTCAGGCACACATTGTCCTCGTCCAGTCTAGAGATTCAGCCGAAGGAAGCTTTCGTCTTTATAGATCCTGGGAATTCTGTCAGCATGATCCTCCCAAGTTCTCTCTTTGTGCTCATCGTGCAGTTTGTCATTCGATACGTATAAATATCCGTTGATACAATGTCGTCAAATAAACTCAGAAGGAAGCAAAAATAATTTTCAATTTGACATTCACGGATGTTCAGATCCGTATAAAAATACAGTTCAATAAACTTCAGCGTTGTTTTCGTCAACCTAAACCTAGCAGCACATGTATGTATGGGAGGTGTGTCTATACTTTTTTCAATCAACGGACAGAAGTTTATGGACATCATGCATCTCGGCATAACGCCATCACGGAGCTGAGCCCTTCTGGAGAGCCTCCACTTGTGCAGCTACACACGAACTTCCCAGCATTTTATGGAACCCGATAGTTCATTACCGTGTTCACAAACTCAGAAAGAAGCCAGAACGATCCAATCCATATCATCCCATACTCTAAGATGCATTTTAATATTGTCCCCCCACCTACTTCTTGGCCTTCCTAGTGGTCTCTTTCCTTCTGGATTTTCCACCAGTATACTATATGCATTCCTCATCTCTCCCATTCGTGTTACATGCCCGGTCCATCTCATCCTCCTTCACTTGATCATTCTAATAATACTTGCTGAAGAGTACAATTTATGAAGCTCCTCATTGTGCAGTTTACTCTAATCTCCTGTCATTTCATCTCTCTTCGGTCCAAATATTCCCCTCAACTCCCTGTTCTCAAACACCCTCAGTCTATGTTCCTCCCTTAATGTCAGGGACCAAGTTCCACACACATACAGAACCACAGGAAGAATTATAATTTTGTATATTCTAATTTTTATATTTTTAAACACCAGAGGAGAAGGCGAAAAGTTCTGAATTGAATTATAGCATACGCCATAAGCGTAATATTCACTCCGTTACTACAAATAAATTTTTGTCTGGTGTTGGTCATATGAATTTCTGATGTGTAATGTTGACGCCTCTTAATATAAGATCTTGAATTTTGTATGCTAGATCTATATGTATATAAATATATTAATATATTACAACCATGTTAACGTATTATTTTTGATCGCAGAATGTAAAACAACATGGCGACCTGTTGATATTTATGTAAATATATTACTCCATTTCATAACATTGACATTAGTCATTATTATCCAAGATGTGCATGTCAGACTTGGTATGAATGTACATATATTTTTGTTAAAAATTACAACCAGTAAGATCGGCGACGATAGATAACTTCGAGGTTATATCTGGTAATATTCAGATAGTAGGAATCTGTATGAATGAAAATGGTCCACAGAAATGTAATAACTTTTATAACTTGGTACATGAAAGAAAGTGTCCCTCAACCTTTCAAGTTCTTGAGGTTAGGTTTGTCTGATGATTCTTTTTTTGCCATCTGCTTTCGAGTTAAACACATTGTCCTTTTTCCACAAATTATATTTCAGTATATTTTTGGTTCAAATTCAACATTGATATTCACAACCACACACGCCTTAATGGCGTAGTGTTTAATTAGTTAAGCACAGAGTCAACTTCGCCATTACCTATTGACAACCACAACAATTTCCACGGGCTTTACGAAAATCTATAATATAAATTTTATTTTGTCCCCAATTTCTTTCCATTCTGTCTGTCTGATTGTCTCTAGGAAAGCAAGTGAATCACAATGCATAAAGCGATCTATTCCCATGTAACCTTATGCGTTTTACTGTACGATTTATATTTGATATTTACAAGGGATTTCATCATGTCCCACTAAGGCAGAGAACAAGAGAAAGGAGGTGTTATGTCATTTCTTTATTTTTATAACACTTGTTTAAAGATAAATAATAATACGTAATTCTTTTGTTCCAGCAGTATATTTTATTGTGTCAAATGTAAGGTTAAAATTTTCATGTTTTTGAGATATGACGTTTTCACAGCGATTACAATTAACGCTTTGCTCCCCTTGTTATGGCATCTTGTTTTATCATGTAGGGAGACATCTCCAAACGAAACAAAAACCCTCTCATTGTCTACATTTACTGCGTATTACGATGTCCATTAAGGACTTGGTTTAAAGCTCCTTGAAATTTCAATGGGAGAATTATATGGCTCCCTTCTATAGCTACGGTTTCTAGAGATAACCCCTCCATTGACATATTCTTGTACATTACAGCCATTGAGAGACAAGCTGCAATGAAGATTGCACTTAATGCACTCGCTAGGGACTTAAAGCAACTTCGGACAGACAGCTTATTCGAATAAACCGTGCTGCTACGTAGAGATAACATTTCTAGCAAAGATGGAGATTCGAGTACAGGCTAAAACATTGGTGCCGAAGTCTGTTGAAATTTCAGTGGGACAATTTGGCAATTCCCACGTCTAGCGACATTCTCCGCAGATAACCCTTCCTTGTATCCACTGTTGTGTGTTATGTTTGTCGAGGGACGCTCTGAAACTGCGATTTTCACACACGCTTAGAGATTGTAAGGTTCTGGGCAGACATCTTGCTAAAATAGGATGTGCTGCTAGACAGAAATAACATATTTCAGCACAGCTACCTTTCATTGCTGTTTATTATTCTATTGTGACTACTAACGACGGTAACCGATAAATAATGTGGCATATAGACCCGTTGCTGGGCAACGACCACGAAACAGACAGCGGCGTGCGCGCAGTAATGGACGTATTGTTTGGAAGCAGTGTTTCCTATGTGGTCCACTCTGAGGCTATATAACTCGACCCACCGAGGTCAGTTCGGCTAGTGCAGTTCAGTGCAGTGGGCTGGAGCGAGTTGGTTGGTGAGTGAGTGAGTTAGAGGACCACTGCGGTTCAGTCGTTGTGAGCTGTTGTTGTTAGAAGCCGGTAGCTGAGGCACGGGGGCAGTTCGGAAACCCAGAGGAAAGGGAACGTCTACCGTTGGAAGCCGTTACCAGACAACGATTGCTGAAGACACCGCAGACTGAGAAGATTTAGTGCGTGTTCTAATGAATTGTAGAGCGTGTGAATTAGTGATAGCAAGTTACTTGTATTTAAGATCTCTAAGTGTTCAATAAATCCAATTACCAATCCAAACCCCGTCTATAGTCACTCATAATCGTGACAGTAATAGCAGAATACTTATTCTGTGCCTTTTATGCAGTAGGTGTTGGTGCATGAAGAAACGTAATCTAACAGACACCTACGAGTAGTTACAAGCACCGAGTCATATATTGGTTTTATTAATAAGCAGTTTTACTAGTTTATTTGAAGGTGAACTCAGGCGGTGAACAACTGAGCCCCATTCATGTGATTTTGTATAAAACACTTCCGGTCGTTTATTTACGGTCTGTGTGTCATATTCTTGATGCTTGTTTTTTTTTTTGGCACTATATGAACCTCACACTCTATAACACAGAATCCGTAGAATGATTGGTGAATCATGAATTATAAATAATCTAGAAGGAAAGAGTCGTGGCCTATTTGAGGCACTGTCTTGATTTCATTCTGTGGAGGGAGCGAGCGAAGCCATAAGAACCTCAATTAGAATGCCGGTATCTCGGCTAAGATTCGAACCTAGCACTTCCTCAGTGCAAGTCTAGAGACTTACCCCTAAGCCAACCCGCTCGGTCTAAGTGTTATCCCTTCTGTTATACCAGATAAGCAGTCGTGGTTAGTGAACAATGCCGCAACTTGGTGTTTACATAAACCAGCAGCGTGAAGTGAACCTGGTTACGTAACTTCTTATAAGTGTCTGGGATTTTGCTGAATTATTAACATCGGTCAAGGCCGTGACAACTCCCTCTATGGCTCTACAGCCATTTGGACCTTGACCCATTTTTCAGTTCCTTAATCTTATAAAGGCCGGTCACGGTAACCGTGCGGTCTAAGGCATGTACTGTCTTCGCTCGCTTGGAAACCGGGATCGTGGGTTTGAATCCCACTCAGGGCATGGATGTTTAGTTTGTGTGTGTACGTTTTTATGCGTTTGTGTACATGTAGAGGCCTTGCGACGAGCTAATCACCCGCCAAAGGAGTCCTACCGAATGTGTAAGATCTAGTAAACCGAAATGAAACGGAGAAGTTCATGGAGGTAGGCCTAGGCCCACTGGGGCTGTAGTGCCAAGGAAAAAAAATCTTATAAAGAAGTCGGTAGGACTCCTTGGACGGGGATCAGCACATCGCAAGGCCACTACATACACACAGGACAACACACACACACACAGAATACACACACAGACATCCATGCTTCTAGTGGGACTCGAACCCACGATACCAGCGTTCGAACGGGCGAAGACAGTACTTGCCTTAGACCGCGTGGACATTGTGATCGCGTGTGTATATTTTTACCGCCGTTAAATACTCCATATAACTAACAAATGTTGTTTAACGTAAATTTCTTCATCAGGACAGGTTTCAGAGCACCGGGTGGGATAGCGCCCCTGATTATGACTTAGAAGAACATGAACTGAAGCGGACGTGGCTAATTTTGTACTCTTCTATGATTTGTCTCAGGGAACTGAGGAGAATCACGAAAATCTCAGTCAGGATAACAATATTGTGATATGATGCCCGAAAGCCGGAATAGTGGTCAGAATAGATGTTCATTGCTAGGCAACGACTCGGTAAACATATTCCTGCGGAAGAACATACACAAACAACAATCGAGTAACTTCCGATTCTATGCAACAGCGCTGTAAACACGCATTCACAACAATAGCAAGGCTGTGTTTACTGCTTGGTCCGTGAGAAGTGGTTATAAAGAAGAGTTAAGACGAATTGGTCGAGTTTCGAGACGCCAGCCTGCCGGGATATGAGCTTGGGACCAGAAGAACTGAGTTGAGTTGGCAGTTGCAGAATAACGACAAGAAAGGAATTAGGCGGTGCAAAGAAAACTTCATGTGTGATTTGAAGTTACAGTGAGATTGCTATGAATCCGTTTGTCAGGAAACGACTAGTGAAGGCCGAGAATCCTAGTGCGTGTGCCTTGCGACGAGCTGATCCCACGTCCAAGGAATCCTGCTGACTATGTAAAAGGATTAAGAAACTGAAAAAGCGGCAGACGTCCAACAAAGGACTATAGAACCATAGATAGAATGATAGAATATCTCAGATAATATAGCGTTCAAAGGTGAGATTATGGATAAATAATGAATAGGAAGGGATGCAGGAGGAAGAGATCGTGGCATAATTTGAGATATTATCCCGAAAATTCCATGAAGGACTGAGGAATACCACGAAAACATCAGTATATTCTGTTTTCCTGCTCAGCATCGAAAAGTGTCCCTCTCGAATACAAGTCAAAAGCGTTGTCACCTTTCCCGATTCATTAAACAAACTAAGAATTATACAATGTAGAATCGTTTGCGCTGCGCGAAACTGAGGTGGTTCCCCTAGCTCCTCCAAGGCCGGCCGACAAACGCCCACGGAAACCCCAGCGAGCCGTCTTCAACATGTTCACGTCGACACAAAAAGCTTCAAGACGCCGAGCAGTAAACCGGCAGCCATTCGCAGGATCCGAACCGTGAAATGAGTACGT